GCAATTGGTCAGAAGCGTTCGACCGTAGCACAATTAGTGAAAATTCTTTCAGAAGCGGGTGCTTTAGAATATTCTATTATTGTGGCAGCCACTGCATCAATTGCAATTTTCTGCACCTCTCCTAATTTACGTCCACATTCGGACGTTAAATCAATTAATTCCTCTCTGTTTCGTGGACCTCGACCCTGGCGCCAGTCAGTTTGTCCTTTCTTTATTATATTATTATTATTATTATTATTTTCCCAGCCGTAATTCTCAGCGACTGAAAATGTCCACAATCGCGTCCACAAGCATGCACGATTATCCTCCGCCCGTCGTGCCTGCCTTCATTTTTTTTTTCTTGTCCCCCCCCTCCCGCCCCCTCCCCCTCTCTTTCTTACGGGGGCCTTCTGCCTAAATGTTATAATTGATGCAAAAAAAAAGAATCTGATTACGCAACCCATGCGGGGGAATGGTACACACCCATGTAACTGTGATGTGTGATATAGGGCCTCGCCACACCACTCTCGAAATGTGAGAAAGACAAAAATGTGGCGGGTGCATCTGGCCATGTTCTAGCGGGAAGTTCATTGTTATTTTGCACATTTCGAGAGTGGTGTGGGGATGCCCATAAGGACCTGGGTTCAAATTCTGATGGAAATGATGGAATAGAGTAACTCTGAAAATACGTTGGGCTGGTTCTGTTCGATTATGATTCGTCAAAGAGGTCGCCGTTTTTTCTTTTTTTAAGCGAATGGATCTTGACACAGAAGGCGGCAAGAGACATTCGTTGCTATGCATAGTAGTGGATGTATATTGCCAGCTTCTGTGTGAAGATGCACTCGCCACTTTTCCTCTTCGTTCCTTGAGTGTTGAGGCGAGGCGCAATCTTTGATGCAGTGAATGCATCTTGGACCAAAGCACGTACACATTCCGAAACATATATATATTTTTAATTCAAATAATGAATACTAATTTTATAGTAATTGAATAGCAGATTTACTGCATATAGATTCACGTACTGTTTGTCCCCGAACACAACGCACCCGGAGCATGAGTGTATTTAACCGGAATGTCGTCTATATACATTCATGATCAGGTGCATTATGTCCGAGGGAAGATGGTGGTATAGTAAGGCGATATTAACTCTAGCTTCATGTTCATCTGGGGTAACAAAAGCCAACCTACATTCCACTGAACGTGACCGTATATGCGGTCCGATACATTCGTGAAAAGCCGCCTGTCGGGAGAGCCGGAGTGAAGAATACTAGTTTCGTATTTACTTGACGCCAAAGCCATATTCACTCAGCTGATTCTAACCGTAAATACGGTCCGATGCATTTCGTGATAATCTTCTTATCGAGCTGGCAGGGATTAGTAATAACAGAGGGTTGCGACCTTGCGAAGTGTTTTTTTTTTTCTTTTTTTTTTCCATAATTATAAAAAAAAAAGCACCATTTCTCGATTTCTGCGTGTCATGTAAAACATCAACAACAACAAATTTATGCCTGTCATCCTTGCGCAGGGGCGATGCTAATAATTACCCTTCTCTGTATCGTTCCAATTTTAACGGATGTCCCCGAAGAACCGAAGTGTTCCTCTGCCCTCCTCCCCCCCCCTCGCCGCCCTTTTTCATTTTCTTTGGAATTGTTTTAATCGGATCCGTATGCACGTAGTACCGAAGCCATATTCACTCAGCTGGTTGTAGCCGTAAATACGGTCCGGTGCATTTCGTGATAATCCTCTTATCGAGCTGGCAGGGGTTAATAATAACAGAGGGTTGCGAAATAGAACGCCCGGTCATTATCGCTGCATCTGGACTGGAAGTTGTGCCAAATACAGCTATAATGACTGGGCGTTCTATTCGGGTGAAGACGGGTAGTCTTGAGAACGAGCAGACGCCAGTGCATTCGTGTATCAAAGCCGTGTTCACCTCGGGATTGAAGTGGTTGAATGTGACTGCAGAAGCGGCTTCAATCCATGCATCGAATAAATGGAACGTGGTCGAACTGGCGGTTCATAATCCTCGTCTCAGGGTGCAAGTGGGGCCCTCCCCCAAGATGCAGCCGGATGGGCGCATTGTGGGGACCTTCCATCGATTTGCCGGGTCTGATCTGGGTCCCGCCATTGACCTCCCGTCATCGAGGGGTCCCGCAACTGATGATCTCGCCCACCGTAGATCTTCCTCCATTGAGCCCACACTCAAAGAAGAGTTTATGCCAAAAATGGATTATTGGAACCGTATTGATGTAAAGCAGCAGTATGCAGAATACTAGCACCTG